GCCCCCTATCAACATATATGACCTACATTACCAAATATACCCATCGACCTTTGCAACCTAAGCACGCTACATACACACTGGAATAGTATAATAGATAACATGTCCATAGTATTCTGCTTTCCCCCTCCCTTGATTTTCAACGACATAGCCCAAATAAGGTGCTGACTTATTGTCTGCATGCATTATTGCTGTACCCCTAATTATATATATAAACCACCACCCCTAATTAACTATATCTTCAAGCACAATAATAACATCATCTTGAGCCCAAACTTTATTTATCTTGGGGAGCCAATAGAATAGTCGCAGCCTGCCGTGCAATCATGTTCTGTGACCCCCGTAGAGCATACATGAAGAATTATATTTAAGGCCAGGCGGTCAGGCTTACTAAGGCTGCTTGCTCGTAATGGGAGTATCATGCATTTCAACTATCTAGGAAGTTTTGATGATGTGGCGCAAAAAAAAGGATTGAGTATCATATCATGATACCAGATCATAATAAATATTGTACTAGCATGTGTCTTGCATGAAAATAAATAAGGCAATCTAAGATACTAACCTATAATACTATGCATTACAGAGCTAGTATCATAATCTAGTATGATATGCGTGATGCTAAGTTATGATACTACCCACTACGGGCAGGGTACGACCTTTAATGTAAGGCGCTTAGGGAAGGAGTTTGGAGAAATAAACTAGCGTTTCATTAAGCAGCGTGTGCTTACTTGCAAGGGGTAGATGCTCAATTAGACGTCTCTCTCGTGTAGAAATAGGCACCGGCTCTTGAGAAGAAAAAGAAAACTTTTTTATTTTTCTTGCACCTTCATAGGCACCTATCATTGTACTACTACTAGACCTATACACTAGCCGAGTCGTTTTGACGTGGGGCCTACCTGTCTGTCCTGGCACAGCGGGGTCGAAAAGCCCTCTCTTGTTTGTGGTGCTGTGAACGCGTGCATGGGAAATGGTAGTTGCCCGCCCGCCCGCCCGCCCGTCCTGCAGCTAGCTCACCGGCCAGCCAGGATGGATGGATGGCCTGTGCTGTGTTGGCCACCACATGCGAAAGTATGGCACTGCCCATCGCTCGCTCGATCGATCGGAGATATACACCCCGTTCACGCGTACGATCGACCTTCTGGTTAGTTAACCCTTCTGGTTACTAAGTAGTTTACTCAGCCCCGGCATGTACACATCGATCTACAGGTGTGGCACCGCTCCCTCCCGCGTACCGCGTCTATATAACCGCCCCACGCGGGAGACAGAGGGGGAATATACACAGGGCAACGCAACTGCCTGTGCGTCTCTGTGTGTGTGGGGAGAGACAGAGAAGCCAAGGAAAGAAAGGCAGGAAGAGAGGGAGGGAGGCAGGCAGGATCTGTATGGTCCAGGAGAGCATGGTGACCATGGAGAGCTTCTCGTTGTCTCTGGTGGCCGTGGGGTCGGCGGCCGCGCTGGTCTACCTGTGCGTGGCCGCGTGGGTGAGCTGGCCGCGCCGCGTCGGCGAGATCTTCCGGCGGCAGGGGATCGACGGGCCGCCGCCCTCGTCCTTCCTCATGGGCAACCTCTCGGAGATGCAGGCGCGGGTGCAGCAGCACGCCGTCGCGTCGGCGGCGGAGGACGGCGCCGGCGACCTCCACAAGGGCGACGGCTTCGACGACTACTGCAAGCGGATCTTCCCCTACTTCGACAAGTGGAGGAAGGCGTACGGTATGTGCTGTGCCCGCCCGCCCGCCCGCCATCTCCGCTCTACTTGTTGCTCCTGTTACTCGCGCTAGCTAGCTCTGATTTGCGTTGGCATGCTTGCTCGCTCGGCACCACTTACTCCGGTTGTGTTCATGTGTCTACTGGTATGAACGGCTTTTTTTTTCATGCTAGTTCGATCTGTTCGTTCGTGTACAAGTCGAGCATGCGTGGAGGAAACTACCTCTCCCTCTCCGCCACCGAAGTCATCGACGGATGCATGAAACTGCACTGCTACAGGCGCATGCTTGCCCTAGCTAGCTAGCAAGTTGACTTGCTACCGTATGGTATAAAAATGCGGCTACATGTTGATAATAAGTGGCATCCATACAAAATTGACACGGCTATGTGGGAACAGAAGAAATTAATATGTATACGTACATGGAGTTTGAGTGAGTTGTCAATCAAGTCAACATCTGGAAATAGGAGCAAATTATTTTAAAAAAAATCTGGGATGGAAACAGTGCCTAGGAAAAGAGAAGTATCGCAGTCAACAAAGCTAGCTAGCTCTGGATCGATCGATGGAAGCCTTGGAATAGAAAATAGCCGGTGCCGATCGAAGCACAACTCAACAGAGTACTACTACCGATTTCTTTTTCGAACGGCGTCCACTTCCTAACCTGCTGAGTAAGCAAGCTTGCATGCATATGTGTTGGGTGAAGGAGCAAGCACGCATGCGCACGCCATGCCTTTTTTGGGACCGTTTAACCCATGGTTAAGCTACCTAGCATAATGGACTGGTCCAACCCTCTCCATGAGCTGTAATATGCTACTCCCTCCGCTTCGAATTACTTGTGCAGATATGGATGTGTCTAGATATATTTTAGTTCTAGATACATCCATTTCTACGATGAGTAATTTGAAACGGAAGGAGTACGTGTTGATTATTGACCACTGTCTCATACTAGTACGATTAAGAGCAAAAACTGTGATTATATGGTCACCTTTTTTTATATTTTTACCATTTAAACTTTTGGAAGGACCAAAGTATGTTAATGACGGTAGCTCGTGCCAGTCAGTGAAAAAAACCAAACAAAAATTTCTTGCTCGTGCATGATCGGACCACTCATGAAAACGTGTTACATAGATGCGCGATCTTTCGCCATTTGGCTTGTTTGGTTGGTTGGCTGCACCAATTAGTAAAGCAACAAGGCTTAGTTCATGCAAAAAGTGCATCCATGGCTATAGCTTAAAGGAGGAACGTGGGATTTCTCCGTTTCTGTTCATGCATGTCGCGTTAATGACGATATTAATTAAGTTGCGATTAGTCAGTGCATGTTGGTTCAAGCGGAGTACTACTACACATATTGTGAAGTCAGTGCATGTTGGTTCAAGACAGGAATCTCAAAATAAAATGGATCAAGACAAGTTTAAAGTCATAACAGCATATTTATTTTTCAAACATTCCTTGCATCTATACATGCAGTCGATGCCCTTGTGCACCTAGACGCAACATCTCCAAAATATAAGCTGTCCCATACAGCAACCAAACATCGTCTCTCTTGCATGAGTTCATCCAGCTGTGTCCCAAGTTCCAACTCATCCGGGTCGACATAGACCCTTCTGTAGCCAGGCTAGAATTACCTGTCCAACTTAACCAATTATCATATAGGAGTCTGCATGTACCACCACCATCAAAAGGTGCAGGTGCTTTGGATTCGAGAATACTGGCCTATTTAGTTAGTCAAAACTGTCAAATCAATACAAAGAAAGAATCAACATATACAATACTTTTTGCTAAAGAATTACTATAAGAGAACCTTTCCTGAATTATGTCAAGCAAACATGCCAGCATATTCTAGCTAAGCTGGTGGTACATATATATAGTACTACTACTATCTGAGACCGCCCCCCAAGTCCCCAACCACGCATGCATGCACCTAGCCTTAGCTAATTGTGCCTGCCATAAACTACCATTAAATTATCTCATTGTGTCTGTCATAAACTATTTCAAATTAAATTGTGATTGACATTTGACCCCTGAATAGGTAGTTAAAACACTGAGATAGTCAACTAGGCTTTCCGAAAACGGCCATGTGCGTAGCTGTTCAGCGCACCGATCGAGCTAGCTTGCCGGAGAGAGCTCTCTCTCCATGGATGCTTATCCATTTTGTAAGGAGCTTTGCAATATATTGTCAATAGCTCAAACTTGGTGAATATATATTGTGGCCATGCATGTAATTCATCCCTAAACCAAGAAAGAGTAGGAAAATATCCTAATCAAAACCTAGCTAGTTCTCTTATGATATTGCTCCAGCTTGCGGGTAATTATTTATTGTCTTCCTATATATTTTGTTGAGTTCATTCATCTTGATAGAAACTTGGACCTATATTCATGTCTATGCGAAGACTTCCTTGCATCTTACATGGTAGTTGATGTACATGAATATTCTTGATTCCTCATTCTTAATGATGGAAATATTGAAAGCGTCATTTTCATTTTGAATGATCATACACAACGTAGGTAAACACCGACTAGAGCATTTTATAATGCAGGATATGGCAACACTACTTAACCCGCCGCTAGTTTCATATTAGCATTTGATAAGCTTTTGTGCTGCCCTGTGATTTAAGTCAATGATGTTTTTTACTAACACAAACTATAATCTATCTGATCTTCCATCAATTCGTCTTAGGCTAATTTTTCCCTAATACGACTTGGGTAGCGGTAGTATATCAATTAACTATTTTACCCCCACCATTTTCAAAATGTAAAACCCACACACATTCACCGTTTACTTTTTCGCCAGTACGACCAAGCAAGTACTCCCAATGCAAAAACGTAAGAGTCCCATACATTTTTACGAAAAAAATGCCTTTGTTATAAATATTTTGTACGAAAATTCAGTCGAATTATTTTTCAGTCCCATAATGATATGCCCTCATCATTTTGCAATTGCACACATCCCGGCCTCCGGTTCAAACGCTTATCGATTTCGAAATAGTTATCTTTTGTGTGTGTGATAATTTTCTCAGTCGCCAAAACCAGTACACAAAATCCACAAATGAGCAACGAGGCATGTTAATGATTATTCGAGAAAGGTTTACTACTTCAAATAATTAATTCCAGTTAGGAGCTGGCCCGGATCGCCCCCACCCTACGTCAAAGTAGCATGTCAAGCCCACATGGCGCCTATCTCCCCATCGACTAGCTAGGTCGTTATAGTTAGGTGGAATTTCCCAACCTAGCAAGCTAGATCTAGCTAGGGCTCGTGCAACGGATGGCAACAGAGGTGACAGGGTCGTGCATGCATGTATGCATGTATGCCCCTGTACACTGTACTGTTGTACTCTTGTAGACCAACCATTAATTATTGATTTTTCTCTTGCACCTCTCATGCATGCTAGGATTCCACATGCATGGAGATGGAGATGGATGCATGCCTACCCTAAAAATTTAGCGGCTAGTGGATAACCATGCCCAGTTCTATGCATGCAGTTCGATCTTGGCGAAAAACAAGTCTGTTTTTGTTTCGTTTGACAAGTCGCGTGCTGCTATATGTATGTGCATATATATACGGTTGCCTCTCGCACATGCGCTCGAGGGATGCCATGCCGATCTTGCATCTGCGCGCCTCCCCAATGGGTATACGTACGCTCGTGGTGGTTGGTGCCTACCTGGCCAAAAGTGGCTGCCTAGCTGTGCTAGCTGCTTCTCCATCATCGATCCATCGATCGGTCGTACAGGCGTCCATATGCATGACCAGCTAGCGCATGTTAAGCTAGCTAGCTACTCCCCTCCGCTCTAAATTACTCGTCGCAGAAATGGATGTATCTAGAACTAAAATGCATCTAGATACATCCATATCCGTGACAAGTTATTTGGAACGGAGGGAGTAGCTTGGAAGACGTACGTGTGGTGCGAACTTTCCTAACTCTCATTGGGGGCTACTTACAAAACGTTCAAGCTAGGCAAGGGAAGAGTAGTAGTTTACGGTTAAGATGAGAGAGGTTAATTACGTGGACCATCCACATGCATGAACCTGCAAATCAAGTCAACTACTAACTGGCTTGTAGGGTGTAGTACGTGCAGATGGATGTTGTGATCAAGAAATTAAGTAGGAGTAGCTAGTACGGCGCATCGTGGATGGAACGCAACTGACCGACCGGCCCGGCCTGGTCAAGATTCTAAGCTACCTTGATTGAGGCTACTAGTGGCGGTTAGGAAGCTACTCTGACCGACTAATCTGCTTTGATTGAAGAATCTTCGCCTTTTGGGTAGAGTGGGGGAATCTCATTGCCATGATACGCACGTACGTACGGGACACTTCACTTCGATCGGACAATTAAGTAATTGCATCGAGGACCTGTAGCTTTGACCGGAATTTTTATGCGGTGAGTCAGTTAGCTAGGCTGTCTGCCACTATTCTGAAGATAAGCGCACCCTCACTCACATCACATGCATGCAATAGGCTCCTCCCTTTCGAAAACATATGCCACTTTTTTTTTTTTTGCGGGGTACTCTGTATAATAATACGTTACTCCATCACAGAAGTATACAAGCGTTTAGTGATCCATAGACGCTCTTATATTCCTTTACAGAGGAGGTACTTTCTTTATGGAATTATAATACGCTACTTAAAACAACTTACTTGCATATATTTCTCTTATCGAGTTTTATTTGACAGTGGAGTTTCTAAAAGGACCATGTACTTATGTACTCAGCAAATGTACACAATATTCCCCTAAAAAAATTCTAAAATACACAATATTTTATTGCACATGGTATTTAATGTGGAGCGATTCTTTGAGCAAAATCCATCCATTATAGAATAAACCTCTACACAATATTTCATTGCACATGCTATGAATTTTGCGGAGCTATGAATCTCCACATAAATTTTGCATTGAAACACCTGTTCGTACGTTTTGTATTTTGGAGACAAGCTTCTGGTGTGTACGTGTAATGGCAAATGTATTTTGCATTAGACCGATATATAGGTCCACCAGGAAATAACAGCCCGGCTCAACATCTGTACCACGAAAAAGGCCACAAAATGACGGCCCAGTAGGCCCAAAACGCTTCAGCATTCAGGTCGATTTTGTTTTTTGCTTGTAAGGGAGACTGACGATTTTGCTGTGTCGTGTCGTGTGTCGTGCAGGGGACACGTATCTGTACTGGCTCCGGCAGCGGCCGGCGCTGTACGTGACGGACCCGGAGCTGATCCGGGAGATCGGCCGGTGTGTGTCGCTGGACATGGGCAAGCCGACGTACCTGCAGAAGGGCCAGGAGCCCATCTTCGGCGCCGGCGTCCTCAAGACCAACGGCGCCTGCTGGGCGCGCCAGCGCAAGGTCATCGCGCCCGAGTTCTACATGGCCAAGGTCAGGGGCATGGTTGGGCTCATGGTCGCCGCGGCGCAGCCGCTACTGCGTTCGTGGGAGGACTCCGTCGACGGTGCCAAGGGTGGCGTCGCGGCGGTGGACGTCGACGCCGACATCCGGAGCTTCTCCTTCGACGTCATCTCCCGGGCCTGTTTCGGAGACGACCACTCCAGGGGGAGGGAGATCTTCCTCCGGCTCAGGGCGCTGTCCGGGTTCATGTCCGAGCCCAGCGTCATCTTCACCATCCCGTCGCTGAGGTATCTCCCGACGGCGAAGAACCGGAGGATCTGGAGGCTCACGCAGGAGATCCGATCACTGATCCTGGAGATCGCGAGGGGGCGCCGGGCGGCCACGGGGGACTCGCCGGGGCCCGACTTCCTGGGGTCCATCATCGACAACAGCGGCGACCAGCCGCGGCCGGACGACTTCGTGGTGGACAACTGCAAGAACATCTACTTCGCGGGGCACGAGACGACCGCGGTCACCGCCACCTGGTGCCTCATGCTGCTCGCCGCCCATCCGGAGTGGCAGGACCGCGCGCGCGCCGAGGTGCTCGACGTCTGCGGGGGCGCCACCGGCGCCGCGGACCCGGACTTCGACATGATCTCCAGGATGAAGACGGTGGGCATGGTTGTGCAGGAGACGCTGCGGCTGTTCCCGCCGTCGTCGTTCGTGGTGCGGGAGACGTTCGGCGACATTCGGCTGGGCCAGCTGCTCGCGCCCAAGGGCACCTACCTCTTCGTGCCGGTATCCACCATGCACCACGACGCCGCTTCTTGGGGCCCGACGGTGCACCGGTTCGACCCGGACCGGTTCAAGAACGGGGTGGCGGCGGCGTGCAAGAACCCGCAGGCGGCGTTCATGCCGTTCGGCCTCGGCGCGCGCACCTGCCTCGGCCAGAACCTCGCGATCGTCGAGGTCAAGACGCTCCTCGCCGTCATCCTCGCGCGGTTTGCCATCGCGCTCTCGCCGGACTACAGGCACTCCCCGGCGTTCCGGCTAATCATCGAGCCGGAGTTCGGGCTGCGCCTCCACATACGCCGTATTGATGCTACTGCTACTCAGGATGGCTTTGTGAAGTCCAACGATCGACTAGTTAGCTAGCACATGAAAGAAAAACACCGACCGGAAATCAAAATGTGGCGTGAGCGTGACTCTACTCATATGAGCTATGATAACCCCGAAGCAACATTTGTCTGCAAAAACTGAATTAATTGATGAGTTACATTGTTACATTTTGGGAAAACATAGGTTTTAAAATTGGAAGGGAGACAATAGAGGGAAAATAATTCTAGAAGTATCGTGGGAAAATATGCTTAGTATTCAGAAAATTGTGCACATTATGCGTATGTGTTTTCTCTAATGCTGCATTTTTTAAGTCCATCTGTTTCCCTTTTTTCTTTGAGAAACAAGTCCATTTGTTTCCTGTTTTGTTAATTTTCTGAACCTCTTTCATTGGCATGGTTCCTGGATTTAGAATCCAAATGATTTTAAAAACGGACTGTCCCTAAGCCTCATTTAGATGTGACATAATTATGTCACATCTAAATGATGTTATAGACAAATTCATTGTCTCCCTTGTGGCTGGGCTTTGTTTGTTGTTGCACAAAACAAAAGCTGTTCACCGGCTGGAGTTTGGACCACTAGTAAAAGGTTTGTAGTGCTAAAAAACTACTCCCTCCGTTTTCTAGAGATTTCAATAGGTGACTACATACGAAGCAAAATAAGTGAACCTACACTCTAAAATATATTTACATACATCTATATGTTGTAGTCCATTTGAAATGTCTAAAAAAACTTATATTTTGAAAGGGGGGAGTAGTAAAAAGTTTGTAGTTGTATATGTTGGTCCTTCTTTTTGAGCTGCTCGTTGTTTTCTTTTCATAGCACATCATGGAGTTGTTATCCTATATAAAAAAGAGACACCGTACACGTGTGTTGTGTACGAGATAAAAAATCATATATTGTAATATTCATGAAACTAAAAAAGGTTTGTGAATTTAAAAATTGTTTGTAGAACTAAAAATAGCTCGCTAATTTAATGTTCATCATGTGTTTAAAAAGTATTCATCATGACATTAAAGAATTGGTGAAGATTATTTAGAAAATGTGCATTGCGTATTAAAAAATGTTCATCTTGTATTTTCAATTGTTCACCAAATATTAAAAAATGTCCTCACGCGTAAACCCAGGCAAACGTCGGGCCGGGCCGGGTTTCGGGCCGGGCTTGTAAAAGCCCGACCTTCATTTCTCAAGCCAGAGCCCGGCCCGAAGCCCGAAATACTCCCTGTTTTCAAGCCCGAGCCCAGCCCGAAATCAAGCCCGCAGCCTGAATGCTGTTTTTTAGTATGCGCATGTGTATGCCCGGCTCGGAGCCCGAAAGAACGGCCCAAAATACAGACAAATAGAAGCCCGAGCCCGGCCCGAACTATCTTCCAGGCTGCAAAACAAAGCCCGAGCCTGGCCCGAATGTCAAGCCCGATCCGGCTCGGGCCGGGTCGTCGGGCCGGGCTGCCCATGCCCGGGTTTACTCACGCGTTTACAAGTTTTTATGTTAGTTAAAACATATTTATCGCATTTTTTTTAAATGTTCAACAAGCATTTAAATTGTTTGTCATTGTTAAAAAGTCATCACTTATTTAAAAATGTTTTACTTATATTTGGCAGGCATTTAAAATATTTTCAGTGTTGTTTAATAAAAGTTTATCGTGTATTTACAAATAGTTGAATTGGCCGCATTAGTAGACGCAGCCGCGTTGTATCCCTTGCAACTATATATTATGTGTGCCGTGTTGTAGTTTTAGGCGGGGGTGCGACCCTTGTAGTTGCAGGTGGAAGGATGGACATGCAACTGGACATGGTATTTTTTTACAGAAACGCCCTGAAAAAGCCTTTTTTCCTGTGGCGTCATATTAGTATGTTATTCTCTTGCCACACAAAAATGGACAAGGAAATGATAAACAAAAGGCGCCACCACTACCTTCCCCTCTGGGCTATCACTGTCTAACCCAAACTCGTTCGCACACACCCAGCGCCTAGTTGGGGCCACGTCGTACCCTTTAACTGTTGAAGAATTTCTTGTCGCAAAAAAAAACTGTTGGAGAATTTCGAAAGAGTAGAAAAAGGAAATCAAAATAAGGAGCAAGAGAGAAAAAGTGCTAGCTGTTAAAAAATGTACTGCTGATAGTGTTTTTTTTCCAACAGAAGTACCAAAAAGGTGAAATGGTACTGGTAGTTCACAAAAAAACACATTAGCGTTGTCGTTCAAACCTTTTTTTTGTAGCCCACCTCCCAAAAAATGAAAAACAAATTAATCTCAATTCCTGTCAATGGTGGGCATGCAACTAGATCGGGACGGGGAAAAATGCATGTTGAAATTGGACGTGCAACTATGTCGGGGTGAGCGGCAGGTTGCTTGTCAAGGGTGAACATGCAACTATGCACGCGGGTCCACCTGGGTCTGACTCTGGAAAAACGAGTGATTAGATATTTCCTACTCAACCTGACCCAAAGTGCATTGAGGTTCGTGCCAGCTAGAATTTGGGTGCAGCCCCGGCAACAAACGGCACGAAACTGCACCCCGCGGCCATGCTGAGTGAAATGCAGCTAGCCAAATAGGCCATAGGTTTGCGAGGTTTCCTTTGCCAAGTTTTTCTATCATTTTTTCCAGATTTCTTTGTTTCCTCACTATTTTCACTAGTTTTCCGTTTTAATTTATTTTTCACAAGATTTCTTCGTATCTTTCTTAGTTTTCACTAGTTTTTTTTCCTTTTTTCTTTGTTTTCCCTCATTTTTTGTTTCTTCCTCTATTTTCACTAGTTTTTTTGTTTCATTTTTTCGTTTTTGTTTATATTTCTTTTTAGTTTCTTTGTTTATTTTTATATGTTTTAACACAGGTCTACTTTTCGTTTTTCAGTACAAAATGTACCTTTTTAGTGTGCACGTGGAAGATTTTATTGATACACATTGAACATCCTTCAAATACACGATATTCTTTTAATATTATTTTCATACCTGTTTTGATCATTTTTTAATACATGGTCAACATTTTTGGAAATACACGCTTAATTTTTTTGTTGTATTAAATATTTTTTAAAGTACATGAACTTCTTTTTACATTGTATAAACATTTTTTAATCCTACTAACATTTTTCACAAATTTTAGAATATTTCTTTAAGATGGCACGTGAACTTTTTATTGGTAAAAACATTTTAAATACACAAACATTTTCTTACAATGTATAGTTTGTTTTTCAAAATAATTAAATTCATTTATTATGAAACCCGGGAATGTTTTTCATGTCAGTAACATTATTTTAAGGTATCATCATTTTTCAGTTGTGCTAAATGTTTTGTACCCATGTTAACGTTTTTAAATTTCACGGTTCTACATACAAATATTTAAATTGAAGTTTTAGAAATATATTCATTCAAAGTAAAAAGAAAAAAAAATGGCATAACATCATGGCGATGTCAGCATGGCCAACCCACCTCTCGCGCGCGGGCGAGGGCGAGCGAGTGAGGGAGTGCTGCTCCTGCGCTGGGACGACCCATGTACGGGATCGCTTGAGACGATGCTGCAGTCTGTTTTGCGTTAAGCGAGATAGATGTGCCCTTGTGTATCTCTCTGTGCGTGCCTCTGCCTGGCTTATAGGGAGACATAGAGTCGGTTTGGTTCGCTTCCTCACCTCTGTATGCCTACCCTGGAGTTTGCCTGATATTAGCCTGGACGTTGTTTCGATGATGTCCAGAGTATTGAATACTAGCCTGGCCTGAAGCATCTGCTATGTTCATTAGCCTAGATGGAGCACCAGGCATGGTCGCTAGCCTGGCCCAGGCGCCGAGAACTGGATGCCTGGTGCTAGCCTGGGATGCAAATGATATTTTTTGTGGTGCTAGCTTTGTGCAGATATGGGCCAACAATAATTTATAGACTAGTAATAAAGGTACTTACAGCCGGCCAGCAGAGGACACGAACCAAACACATCTAGCCTCGCCAGGCAGATTAGTTGAGCTTTTCAAGCGCAGGCCAGGCTAGCGTTTTATCTAGGCATGGAAGTGTGGAAGGGAACCAAACTGACCCATAGTGCAGAGTCGCCTGGTCGAGTTCGATAATGGGCCGGCCCGACGCGCGTGAGTCCACAGGCCATAACCCCAAGTCTTTTTCCCACATTTTTTTTGTTTTTTTACTCTGTTTATACTTCTAAATATTTGAAACTTATGTATTACAAAAACACTTTACATAAAACAATTATAAACATTAATGAAGCATTTAAAAAATGTCAATGTGTATAGAAAAAAATGTTTCTCCTTTGTAAAAAAGTACAAAATGTGTATGATAAGAGTTGATCATGTATTTCAAATTGTTAAACATATATTTTTAAGTATGGAAATTTTTGGTTGATTTTTTTAAAGTTAAATGTGTATAGAAAAATGTGTCATGTATACAGAAATGTATAAAAATAAAATACAATGTGTATGAAAAAATGTTGATCATGTATTTATAATTTTTTTAAAACATTTATAAAAATGATTTTGATGTATACAATAAATATACAATGTGTATGCAAAACAAATACATCCAAAAAATATATGTATAAAAAATGTAATGATTTATTTTTAAAAAATAATTAAATTTGCATATGTTCACAAAAATGGTAGAATGTCTATGAAATTTTTTTGGAACAGAAAATGTATGTTTTAAAAGAAATCAGGTATGTTTTGAAAAGATGTTCAGCATGTACAAATAAATGTTTCATGTACTTGAAGAAATGTTAAATGTGCATAAAAATTGTTGCTGTTCTATACAAAAATAGAATGAAAAAACTTGACAAAAACCAAAAGGAGAAACAAAGAACATGAATGAGGCCTGAGAATGAAACAAAGGAAATGAAAGAAAAGGAATACCGAAGAAAATCGAAAAAGAAACAGAATAATCGAAGTATAACAAAAACGAACAAAGAAAAAAACAGTGAAGAAATCATCAAAATAGTAGTAAATGGTGAGAAAGAAACGAAGAAAACTGATGAAAAACAACGAGAACAAAAAACCAAATAATACCATGAAGAAACCAAGAAACCGAAAGAAAAAAGAAAAAAAGAAAAAACCAAAAGAAAACCTGACCTCACCATCAATAGCCTACCAAACGAGCGAGGCGAGTGAGCGATCGAGCCTAGCGCGTGGGCGGGATAGGGAGGAGAAGAACTGGGTCAGCCCAGTTAAAACTCAAAGAGAAAACTCTTCACGTCAGCATATTATATGTCTCACTATAAGCGGGATATAGTCGCAGTGCGTGTCGTTAGACATGGGCAAGCCGACGTACCTGTAGAAGGGCCAAGATCCCATTTTCGGCTGTAATACTACATTCACGGGCAAGTTTCAATGGGCTTTCGCGGGGTGGAGCACGTGCTGTAATCTAATTGGCCCCCCATTCTAAGTGGCGGGGCCTGTCTTAATTAACTAAATTACAACCATTAATCTTCAATTAGCCCGTAAAACCACCGTGAAGTCTCCATGCGTGTAGCATTACTCCATTTTCGGCGCCGGAGTGCTCAAGGGCAACAATGTTTGCTAGGCGTGGCAGCGCAAGGCCATCGCGCCCGAATTTATATTGCCAAATTTAGGGGCATGGTGGGGCTCATGGTCACCACGGCGAACCGCTGCCGTGCTCGCGGGAGGCCGCCTTAGGTGGATGTATAGATGCTGACATCCATAGCTTCTTCTTTGACGTCATCTCCCGGGCCTGTTTCGGAGGAAACCACTCCGGGCCCAAATCGGAGCCCAGCAAACTAACTTCAGTTTTTTAACGTTTGGGAAAAATAATTCTAGGAATATCGTGGAAAATGTCCATATTTTTAGCACATTATGTGTGTTTTCTCTAATATTCGTTTTAAAAAATACATATGCTTCCCCCTTTTGTTAAAATTTGTGAACCTATTTCATTTGCATGTTTCCTAGATTTGCAAGTAATAATTTGTTAGAAAACATCAAATTTAATGGTCAAGTTTACACCGTGTTTTAGAGTTTAGAAACCAGAGCTATTTGGCCGATAGATGATGCATAGACTAAAAGTAGAACCTTTTCAATTAGAGCATGACCAGATTAAGTTTCAGAAACTGTAGTAGAGAGTGATGGTTTTGTAAGAGAGCGTTCGCACACGAGCATGAGTCACGGTGTCGTGAATTCCTAGTATCATCTTATGCCATACGCCTTGGGTTGAGTGAATGAACCCTACGACAGGGACGACGGCGCACCGGTCTCCCCTGCTTCCTACTTTCTGGCACTAATAAAACACCTCCGGTTGGCTTGTTAAAATCACCAAAGCGGATTCTTGGAGATCGGAAGGATCCTCTTACAAGTCAGTGAGTGCAGCACATTGCCGCGTCTACATGTTCGGTGTGCAGTAGTATGTTTTCGCGGCACTCTCACACTGCCCATACCACACTCACGCCAACCGCGAGCACTAGAGCCTGAGAGGCATGTCGGGGTCCGGCGAGATGCCGCCGGCAGCCCGCCAGAGCCGCCGCCGGCGCGCCATCATCTGCGCCAGCTTTGCCGTGCTCGTCCTGCTCCTCCTGGCTGCCGTGGCCGCCATCGTCCTGCTGGCGGTCCTCCGCCCGCGGGACCCGACCACGGAGCTCCTCTCCGCGAACGCCACCGGCGCCGCCCCGCGCGTGACGTTCCCCACCGTCTCCGTCCAGCTCAACGTCACCTTCCTCCTCGTGGTGCGCCTGCGCAACCCGAACCCGGCCTCGTTCCGCTACGGTGAGGCCGCCACGACGCTCCTCTACCGGGGCGCACCCGTGGGCAGCGCCGTCGTCCCGGCCGGCACCGTGCCGAGCCGCGGCGCGACGACCATGCGGCTGGGCATGACGGTGCAGGCCGACAAGGTGGTGGCGGCCGCCGGGATCGGGGGCCTGCTCGGCGACGTGCTCGCCGGGGAGATGGAGTTCGAGGCGAGGACGGACGTGAAGGGCCGGGTGACGTTCCTCGGGTTCGTGAAGCGGAACGCCCAGGGGAGGTCGGCGTGCCGCATCGCCATCGGCGTCCCCGACGTCAAGGTCCGGCGCCAGGAGTGCCACAACGAGGCCAGGCTGTGAGCGCAGCGCGGTTCGTACGAGCGTACGCGTGCCGTATAATACGCACGTCATGTAGTTGTGCTCGTGCGGAGTGGAGGCGTGTGGTGCAACCCGTGTGCTTCCGTGCGAGTGACTCCCGATTTGTAGATGCATGACATTCGCGTGGTCTGTATGGGCTTGTGTTTATATAGTACGTACTCCACCATACGATTCTGCATATTCTGAAGGCATTTTGTTTTGTTTTTTATGTAAGATCAAATTTAAATCTGATGTCAGATTTATAGCCATGACAAATCAGACGATTTTTTATGGAATTTATATTTGCAGAGGATAGCAAGTTTAGTTGGCAAGCATGACAAATCTATTTCAATTTATTTTATGTCAGGATATTGCCGCGTTTACAAACTAAAATTTTCATTCCCACACCAGTATAAATGAAAAACGTTTGTCATCTACACGCCGGCCGAACGCTTTGATCGGTCGTCTTCTCGCACGCGCTCGTATTCATCTCTTTCCTCGATCACGCGCAGGTGTTGCCAAAGGGCACAAGGTGGAGCTCTCCGCAGTCGGCCTCCATCCCAGGCGCCAGCTCCTCGCAGGCCTCGGCCACGGCCGTGAGCGGCTGCTCCATCCCTTGCCGCACGCGCGGCCACCATGGTCGCCGCTGTCACACATCTGCTCGGAGCTTGCGCGGGTGATCCTAGTAGCTGTGGAGCGACCACGGTGGCGCCTTGCATGCCGGTTTTTTGCTATGAGTGAGTGTTGTTGGGGGAGTGCACGACGATGTCGTGAACCTGGCACCCATGGCCGCCACTGTTGGGGTGCCGTATCTCGGCAAACCTACAGGTGAGGCATTGCAGAACCCGCCGCAGACCTCCATGTGCTGCAACCGCTAAAAAAAGTTTCAAACTCTAGATGAAAAGTTTCAACCGGATATACGGAAAGCTGCAAGCGTTCAGCGCCATCGAGGAAAGATACATCCGTCTACAGAAAATCCTGCAACCTTCGATGAAAACTGCTTCAACCGAACGATAGGCGAAGCTTTCACCCAGGCGCTGCTCAAAACGAAAAAAGTTTCAATCGTTTACAGAAAAGCTTCTATCGTAGAGGGAAAAAGCTTCAACCATTGAGAGAGAAATCTACAACCGGACTCTGCAGAATCAGAAAATTTGCAACCGTTTTGACAGAGAAAGCTTGAATCGTATGTGCGAAAAGCTTCAACTGGTACTTTGTTTTTGCTTCGACAGGTGGACAATTTTGCTGCTACTGGAGGCAACCCGAGGAGAGATGCATCTTTTTTGTAAGCTCACCGTCGGGGCGCTGTGTCCGGTGAACCGTCGCCACCGGAGTGTGGCCGTTGTGCACTGGAGTTGTGAGCAGTGCCACCGGAGCTACAAGGCTGCAACCATTTGCGCATGCTGGTGCATCCACGGAGGTGAGAAATGCACGAAGGCGACATAGGTGAGGGCGGCGACCAGCGGCGATGGCGGCGACCGGCGGTGAGGGAAGACGAGGAGGCGAGGCGAAGCGGCCAGCACGTGCGAGGCGGTACTCTCCCTTTCCCGTGCGGGAGGTTGAAGATGGGAGGTTGGAGATGATAGAGAAAGGGATCTGACGGCTCGGGGGTGCCAGATATGACAGGCAGGGTGCAACCGGCTCAAATTTGGGCCAGTGCGCCGACGCAGATCACTGCCCAACATAAATTGCTGTTAAAACGTTTGATTTGCCATGGTTAAATATCTGACGTTAGATATAACACCATCGGTGATGTTGTTTGATTGCATTTTCTGTGTTCACGGATTGGCGCTCGTCACCCGTTTGCCATGCTCTTCAGTAACAATGTGGAAAGATCACCACTGATTTTCCACTATCGGACTATCCTACCTGCACATCATGCGCTTCTCAAAGCTGAGTGATGTCATAGCTATCTTCTTTCTATCGTAACAACCAGTCGGCTGTTACTAAAGCTTAGTTCCTGAATTTTTATCTGCTCCTTTACATATTACAGACCAATGATTATTTGCTTTCTTCATTTATCAAAACTTCTCTGTTCAGATGTTTCATCCATCATTATTAGTTACATCTACAGAAACAATATGTCCATATCCACTCATTTCGTTCTGGTAATCTTTCTTTATAGCTGCATCAAAGAAATTCCGGTTACTGCATCCCAAATGTTGGTTCTCTGTTCGGAGCCGAATCCAAAGATATGCAGTCCCCTTGTCAAACCTAACATATATGCGATGCTATTGGATAACAATTATGACATACAACCACTCATTTCAGACTATCAAACTATGCTACTTGCCAATGATCCACTTCTCAAAGTCAACTCTGTAAACGCTATTTTGATCCTTCCACTTCGTGCCCTTCGCAAGAGCTCCCATTGTCTCCCCTCTGGGAGGGAATTTGCTTGGTTTAGAACAGGAGCGCGTGCCGCGTGTTGATCGAACTCTTCCCCGGCAAGTTCTCAGAGGACTCTCCCCTTCCCTCTTGTCAACGAGCACGGAGGTTGCATCCTGCAGCAGCAGCAACAACAACAACAACGACAGACACCGGCCAGCCGGCCATGGGGGGCCGAAGGGGGTGGATGAGGAGCCGAAGGCTGACGGTAACCACGGGAGGAGGTCGGGGCGGCTGAAGAATAAGGCGAGAGATGGCTTGAGCAGATGTTGACGATGCGGCGAGATCATTTGCCTGATGTGCATCTGTTGAACCAACCGGCCGGTCACCTCCAAGGTATGCATCTGTTTTATTTTGTTTTCAGCTCAAGTGGTGAGTCTGATGGGTTTCAAACTTCCAATTTCATAGATGGGAGGGCCTGCAGAAGAAGAGCACGGAGAACATCTCTCTTCATATCAAGGTTTTCTCCAATACCGACCCTCAAACAACACGCATACGTCCGGACCGCGTGGTCTGGATGTGTTTTGCCATCCAATGCGGGCTTGTATCGATCCGCCGAGCAGTCAAGACGTATTTTTTTGCAAACCCGAGACAAACACAAGGGGCTTTGCGGGAGTCCGGATAGCAGTCACGTAGGGCTCCGACACCCCCGACCCATCCAAAACCCTTTCCGGAACCCGCGCCTCCATTCTCCCCATTTTTTCTCCTTTCTTCTTTCTCTCTTGCCTTCGCCGCCACTCCACTACACCGTCCGCCACGACACACCATGTCGGAACTCTACGTCTCCGTCACCTCCAACATTGCTGCCTCGCTTCGCCTCATTTCTTCATCGTCGCAATTCAACCACTCTCCTCCGACCGCCCAGCCAGGTACCATCCGCTACTCCTATACTCAGCAGACCCAACAACTATTTAATGAATTTTTGAAGCTAAAAAGGTTGTCCCTTCTTCTTTCAAGCTATGGATTCTGATTTGGAGTACATATATGAGCACTATGTCAAGTCGTCCGACAGCTCGTCCGACGAGAAGGACTACACGAATGAGACGATGATGATGTAGGCGATCCTTGAAGACGCGAAGCGTGATGAGGAGCATGTTCTCAATTTCAAGGGCTCGATTAAGGGTCATCGAGTGCTCAATCGCAACAGGGCGCGCGACCATTTGACACCGATGGACGAATACTTTGCCCCCGATGCACTCTTCGCTAACCATTTTTTCCGGTGTTTCCAGATGCGCACGAGTGTCTTTTATCGTTTGTACCATAGCGTCCAGTCCTATATATGATGACTACTTCATCTTGAAGAAGGACGTCGTGGGAAGGGTTCGGTTCTCTGGTTACCAAAAGTGCACAGCCGCACTCCAGATGTTTGCATATGGCACGACCGCTGATTCGTGGGACGGGTATCTACGGATGTCTGAAAGCACATGCGGAGATGCCATGTGTAAGGACCGAGAGTATAACAACAGGGAGAGGGGGGGGGCGACTGGGAGTTTCAAATTTTCTTGCGATACTTTGAGTGAGACCCAAACTCAGCAGCGGAATAATATGAGTAGATCTAGAACTGGCAAAAGTAATGACTGAACTTGGCTAACAGAGATATATCGAATGGAAACTAAGCAAATCTTTTGAAGAAAGATGCTATAATTGTAAGAGCATAATATCTCAACGTCTTGACAACCACAATGACAACATGATAAGTGGACTTTATGCATACATCTTAAAGTATATTCTAGTGCCAAAATCCCTCATATCATACCCATCTAGCATTCTTATTCATGTCTCTAATGCATAGTTTTCGGTATTTACTTGTTTTACCATGTTCTTTGCACACTTTTTTTTTTATTTAGTTTTTATTATTTTTCCTTTGTCTTGTGGTCTTTGTAGGTGTGTTGACATGTTCATGGACTTGGGACATCAAAAGAACCAAGTTGGGATTCAAACCGGAGAAGTTTCAGGCACCAGATCAAGGCCCCTTGGAGAGTTTGATCATTTGACATTTATTAAAAGTGTCCAAATTGAAGATTCAAGGCCTCTGACGCATCGGGCTTTTTGTTAGCAATCCAACAAGCACAAGAATGTCAAAATTGTAGCTCGTATGAAGAAATGGCAACCAAAATATGAAACAACTCCCAAAGTCCATAGAGAATGACAACCTTCCATGCGAGCATAGCCGTCGTATGGGAGCTCGTATGATCTTCAGGCAGCTCCGAAAATTGGCTAGAACTTTCCTGATTTTGCTCCGATTTCGTCCATGTTTTTTCCTACGAGATCCTTGACGATGGAAAAGAATTATATGAGACCAGGTCTCACGGGCTAGCATTTGAGACCCACCCTGATGGATGACACATGGCATTCACAAATCATAAAGCATGTAATCTTCCCCCCTGATTTCAAGTAGGGGTTGGGGTAGATGCTTTGTGATTTTTAAATGCCACGTGTCATTCATCGGGATGGGTTTCACATACTAGCCCGTAAGACCTGGTCTCATATAATTCTTTTCCCTTGACGACCAAGTCTTGTATTGGATGTGGATTTGCCTCCCCCTAGATCCCTTGGATGAAAGGGAGGAGGCTAGATCAACGGAGGACACCCCAAGGAGGATTCCTATAAGAAGGCCT